CCTTTTGGACATAGAAGTGCTTTTAAACCTGACACAGGTCGTCATGTGTAAGAAGTAGGAGATTACCTTTGTGGGAAGAGAATTAGGACCAATGAGTGAAAGTTAAAGGAGCGAGATTTTGGTTCCACCATGAAGGTTAATTTTCTGAAAAAACATCCCCAAATTCAAGGGGCTGCTTAGGAGTAGTGAGGTTCGTGTCTGTGGAAGAGACCAAGTCATGCTGAATCTCCCATCTCTCAGATGATTGGGAGAAGTCACTCCCAATGTTTTGGTGGGTGGCAGGTGTTTGTGGGTTACCTACTCTGAGTTACAGTTGGCCGTTTGAGTAGGGTCGGCCGGGGTTGGCAGTGTCTTTGTTGTCAGGGAGGAACTTCTAGACCAGGCCAGAGGGAAGGAGGGTGCCGCTGGGGCAGAGCAGTAGGGAGACATTTTGGACAGGTGGGTCTGGCACCATTTATCTTCCAGATATGGCTCTTGCACTTGACGGAGGGATAGTCAGAGGCGGGTGGCTAAATGAGTAAATAGCCATGACCCTCCGTCACTTCCCAAACTGACCTCCCACACAGGGCCACTTGTAAACAACCCCGAGGGAACAACAGCTCCTTGTAGATTCTGTAAATGTGATTAAGGCTCTGCTGTAGACAAGCTCAGAGTGTGGCCAAGGGCAGGGACTGGTCAGATAGGACCAGCTGGGGGCAAAGGCTCTGGGTCCCTTTGCTGAGCCCCAGCCTCTGTGTGTTATCTGATCAAAGCCCTACGTTGATTCGGGTCCTGAGTGCTGTGCCGTTTGTACCTTGTGCATTCACTGGGAGGCAGTCTAGTGAGGAAGAGGAGAGGCTGTGAAGTAGGACAGATTCCCGCTTAAATCCTAGCACGGCTACATATTAGCCTTGTGGGTTTAGACTGATTGCTTCTTTGCCGTGAGCCTCAGTTTCCTCGTCTGTAGAATGGGCACCTTGGTTGCACTCTCCTTACCAGAGAGGTATGAGGATTAAATGAGACTCCCACATAAAGGTCTGAGTGCCGGGCTGGGCACGTAGTACATTATTATTACTATTATTGAATTAACCTCTGTCAGTGAAAACCAGCCTCACCCTCCCTGGCCTCTCCCTCCTTTTCTGTGCCCATGGACCCTGGTCCCAGGCACGTTTGATGCTGAAATCCCCCTGCTGGACCTCACTTGGTTAATAAGAATCCCCGGGGCCCCATACGTGAAAACGCCCACATCCTTGGCCATGGGTGTCCCCCCACCCTCCCTCCCACCCCGTCTGATGCGGCAGGAACAGAGATGTGATTGAGAGCCCTCAGTCCCGAGGTGAAGCAGGCTGTGCTCCGGGACAGCTGACTGTTCTCTCAGAAAGAAGAGTAGCTCGTCCATCCGAAAGAGGGTCACACCTGGACTCGGCACCCAGGAGGTCACCCTGAAGGCCCTGCAGAGGAGCCTGAGTCCTGGTGGCCTGAGGAGGCTGCTTTGCTGGTCAGTGTGTGTGTGTGTGTGTTTCTGCAGCGACTGGTCGTGGACCCCCAGGTGGCCCAGGGCCAGGGCTGCAGGGGGAAGGACACAGCCTTTGAAGTGTGCAGGGCCAGCTTCCGGGCGGTATGCACACGGACAGTTAGCCTTAGATGCCCCAGTCTCGGGTCCTCATTTGAAACAAGAGGAGCAGAAAACCTAGTTTACATGCTATTTGCTACTTAAATCACAGCATGGATTGAAAATACCGGGCACAGGGTCTTCGCACGGGACAGGCGCTGGGATGCCGCCTTCTGTCATTTTTGTGCATGTTGATGTAACGGCGGATGTGTCCCCAGAGGGCTTTTAGCTTCTCCGGGGATGGTGCCCTGTGTCTCTCACTAGGTGACCCTTGATCAGCAGCCACCTATTTGCCTGTCTTTTCTGTTTTTAGAAGAAATTGTGAGAGGCATTATTGGCAAGTCTTCTCAGCTTGATATTGGTAAGGATAGAAGTAGAAGGTTTTGGCAAATGATAAGCTATTCCGTGCTGGGTTGGGGAGTGTGTGTGGGTGGGCACCTCTCCTTGGGAGTGGGAGTGGGGGCAGGGTTGGGGAAGACTTGCATTCCCGGTTCTCATATTGGTCCATACGTATTTCTATAGAAAGAATTTTTCTTGTTTTGTGCTCCAGATCCACCTGTCTCTAATTTAGTTCAGCAGATATTTACTAATAACCACTATAGTAGTAAGAGCTACTATTTACCAAGCGCATCAAAGCACTTTCCATACTTAACCTCTAACCCTCAGCTCCCTTGAGAAAAAGCTCCTTCATTTTACAAATGAGTAAACCAAACCGGGAGAAATTCAATTACTCGCTTGAGTAATGCCACTGGCAAAGGTGAGACGACCAGACACTTTATCCAGGGGAGGTAGAAGGATATGAAAAAGAACCCGAAGCAGTCTCCATCCTCAGGGACCTGACAGTGAATGTGGAGAGTTCACTGCCAGGCAGAGCTACTGGGACCCTTGGTGTGGTGGTGTTTCTTCGCAGAGCGCTGCTGTGGGAGTGTGGACGACAGAGTGGCTGATTCTGTCTGGATGGGAGTCATCCTGCGGGTGACTCGGCTGAGTCTCGAAGGATGTGTTCATTTTGGAGAGGGAGCAGGCAACGGAGCATGGCCAACCCAGGCCTGTTTAAGGCAGTCCAGAGAAGGAAGCCCAGCCAGGAAAAGGTTGGCCGGTGTGGAAAGGTCAGGCAGAGGCACGAGGCTCCTTGAGGGAACCTGAGTCGTGGGAGTCCTGATGATCTGGTCTTTAGAAAGAGAGGACACACGAGAGCTGGGGGTGTTAGGCAGGGCCCCGAGGCTTAAAGGAGGGCAGAGAGAGTGAAGGCAGAGCCCTTCCTATGGATCAACAGGGCCTGGCCACAGAGGGTTATTCTGAGGCTGGGGCCCCCGTGGGGTGGGCGGGGCAGGCCAGAGCCCCCAAACCCCCAGCCTTGGTGCAGGAGACCTGACCCCAGCAGAGGGGTGCTGACCCTGTTTCCATCAGGAGCTGGGAGAGTGGGGGAGCTGCAGCCCAGAGGTGAGGACTCTGGGGAGAGGCCCACTGTGGGGACCTGGGAGGACAAAGCCTGGGGCAGCCAAGACCAGGAATGACGGGGGAGGATGGAGTGGCCTGTTGTCACAGCAGTTTGGCAGAGGTTAGTGCGAGGAGCCAAGAGGCTGGAAACAGAGGGTGGAAACAGCCTGTGAAGGGCTCTCACTGCCAGAGACAGAAGTGTGGGCACTGGGGAGATGATTGTCCCCTGAGCCCAAGAGCCCGTGATCAAACCTACGGTCACTTTCTCACTGGGACGTGGGCTTCTGGAGGCAAGGAGTGTGTCTTTTATTTCACTAGTGTACCCCCAGCACATCTAGCGTGGGTCACTTAGTGACGCTCCGTTAGTATTTGTTTAACAAATATGTAAAACCACAATATAGACAATGTTCGTGTATATCATCCACAATGTTCATGGGTATATACATGTGCAGTAAACTTTTGAAAACTTTGATGAAAAGAATATACACTAATGGCCAAGGCAGTGCTTACTTTGGGGAGGGAGGAAATGGGGTTGAAATAGGATAGAAAAGGAACATCAAGTGAGTCTGACATTTTTTTTTTCAATAAGGAAGGGCTGAAGAAAATAGGATTGTAAAAAGTCGTTCAATTTGAGCAATGGGTACGTGGACTCCTATTATATTATTCTTCATAATTAAAAAATATTTCTTATTTTTAAGAAGAAAAAAAATTCACGCACACATATTTTGTTGAATGAAGAGAATATCTCTTCTCCAGAAGATGGAGCCACCGCAGTGAGGCCTTATGGCTTCTTAGGGTTGCAGCCACGCCTGGGGAATTCTCCTCTCGATGGAGATCCTTCACAGGCCTCCAGATGGTCAGCGGTTGTAGTAACAGTGTTGCTCTGAAAGCCTGGTTTGTTTCTCTTCTTTTCTTCGTGCCCATAGTTCAGAGCAATTATTTATAATCTCGCCGTGCTTAGAATATAATTCTTGGTGGAGGATCTCAATCCTTGTTTCTGGTGGCGTGACATCATATTAATGTCATACCTCCTGGCTCGCTCCTTGAGTGTAAGATTACAGGATTGTGAATTTTGATTCCTACTGGTGTCAGGGAAAGAAGAAGTTCTGTGCACTCAGAGAATATGTTTGAGTCCAAGCTCCACATCTTCCCAGCTGTGTGACTTTCATCGATTCACTCAACCACTCTGAGCCTCAGTTTGCTCAGCAGCAAAATGTGATGATTGAGAGGATTAGATGAGCTGTAGAGAGTGTGAAGGCCCCGATGACAGAGCCTGGTGCATGGGAGATGCTCAACCCGCATTCACTCTCTTCCCACTGCGGGCTTTGTGCAACCTGACCTTCATTCTCTCTCCTCCCACCCCTAACCATGCCCACCCTGCAAAGCCCATTCAAATCCATCTCCTCCTTGAAATCGTTCTTCACAACCCAATGGCTTGTGCCACTGAGTGCTTAATAATCATAGTTAATTTTTTAATGGCTTTTTTTTTTTCCTCCTTAGACTGTAAAGCTTTTGAAAGCAGGAACACCATTTCAGGCATTGTTGTGGGGTGGGGAAAGTCCCTCCCTAGCATGGGAGGCAGACGCTCTGGGTTAACTTTTGCTAGATAAACCTGGGCTCCACGTACCTTTGGGGGCTTCAGTTTCATCAGTAAAATGGTAATAATAACCTCCCTTAGATTCTAGAAGATCCATTGAGACAGTCTGGGTAAAACATAGTTAGGAGGAGTTTAATAAGTATTGTTGAATGGATTTAAACTGCTTTGAAAAATGAAGTTCTTTACAAATGTCAGACATTCTTTTTAATTCCCCGTAGTGTATAGGAAAAGCCCTGGTATTTACTTGCTGCTAAGAGAAACTGCCTGTTTGAATATTCCCCAGTCGTCCAGATGAAGACCACAAGAGGCATCGTACAGGGGTTATAAAGCTTCCTCTGGTTTTAAATGAAATTTCATCTTCGTTCTCACCAGGATCGAGATGACCACAGCCACCCCTTTGGGGGGTACCACCTTCTTCTCACTGAACGTGACCACCGGGGGAGAAGACTTTCTGTACAAGAGTAAGGTCAACCTGGCTTGGCGTCCAGGAGAGGGAGGGTGGGACAAGGGCCATGGTCAGCTGCTGCTGTTGAGGGCAAGACCGAGGGCTCTGGTGGCAGACTGCCTGGGTCTCAGTCTCAGTTCTACCACTTGCCAGCTGCGTGACCCTGAGCATGTGACTTCACTGCTCTGTGCCTGTTTTCTCATCTATAAGGTGGGGATATTAATAAAGCTACCACATAAGGTAGGTGTGAGGACCAAAAGAGATAACCCACGTAGAGAACTTAGAATAGCTTTGGTGCACACTAAGTACCTAATGAGTATTATTACTATTATTACTGCTAGTGCTATTATCTTCATTAGGGAGTTTTGGAGTCTAGAGGGCAATGGAAATTTGAATCTCTTGTAAGATGTCCCTAAATGAGTCATCTTGAAATATAGCTACTTTCATACGATTTTTGCAAGGCAGAAACATCCCATCAATTTACAAAGGAGGAAATGAATGTAGGTGGGAAGAGTCCTGGGGAGGCATTTGCCAGGAACGAGGGGTCCCCAGAAGGAAAAATTTGAGGACGACACTTCAGAAAACCAACTAATTGTATTAGAGGGAGTTTGGGTCCATGTCACTTATTTCAGTTGAGTTGGTATACACCTCTGTGAATGGAACAGGCCTCCCGACACTCGCAGAGGGCTCCCCCAGTGACAGACGGCTCCAGCCTGGGCTACTGGTGGGAAGCTGGATTAATGGCAGGACGTGGTCCCGCACATTAGCCTGCTCCTTGCTGGGAGGGCTGCTGAGGTATGTCTCAAAACAGTTGTGAAGAGAAATGGAGTGTAGACAGAATCACTATCAGCAAGATGAAAGTAATTCTTTCTTCATTTAACTAAAAGCAATGCTTCTCAACTAGGTGATTTTGCCCCTGTAGAGAGGGGTTACCAGATTTAGCAGATAAAAATAAAGTACACAGGCCAGCCCCAGTGGCCTAGTGGGTAAGTTTGGTGCAGTTGGCTTTGGCAGCCTGGGTTCGGTTCCTGGGAACGGACCTACACCACTGGTCTGTTAGTGGCCATGCTGTGGTGGTGACCCACAAACAAAATGGAGGAAGATTGGCATCAGATATTAGCTCTGGGTGACTCTTGCTCAGCAAAAAAAATTTTTTTAAATATAGGATACACAGTCAAATTTGAATTTAAGATTAAAAAATACTTTTTTTAGTATAAGAACGTGCAGTACAGGGGGCCTCCCCAGTGGCACAATGGTTAAGTTCACATGTTCTGCTTCAGCGGCCTGGGGTTCGCCAGTTCAGATCCCTGGTGTAGACATGGCACTGCTTGGCGAGCCATGCTGTGGCAGGCATCCCATATGTAAAGTGGAGGGGGTTGGGCACAGGTGTTAGCTCAGGGCCAGTCTTCCTCAGCAAAAAGAGGAGGATTAGCAGCAGAAGTTGGCTCAGGGCTGATCTTCCTCAAAAAAAAAAAAAAAGAACGTGTAGGGCAATATTTGAGACATACTGAAAAATTATTCGTTACTTGACATAAATTCTAACTTAAATGGGTATCCTGTATTTTATCCCGCAACCCTACCACCAGGGGACATTTGGAAATATCTGGAGACATTTTCGGTTATCACAACGTGGGGGGAGAAGTGCTACTGGCATCTGGTGGGTGGAGGCCGGAGATGCTGCTAAACATCCTGCAACATGCAGGACAGTCCCCACAACAAGGAGGGATCCAGACGAGGCTGTGAAAAACCCTGAACCAACAGTATCATTACTGGAGTCCCCGGAAGGAAAGAAAAACACGTTACTCCATGATGGATTCTCTGCCCCCTCCGTTTTTTCCTCCCAGCCTTTCATTCTATGAGTATTTGCACATATTTTGGGGTTTTTTTTAAATAGACCTTTTATAAAAGCATTACGTGCATTCAAAAAAGTGCACAAATCCTAAGTTCACAGCTGGATGAATTTTCGCAAAGTGAACACACCTGTGTAACCAGTCCCCAGATCAGGAAACAGACCACCGCCAGTATCCCAGAATTCTCAGTGCCCTTTGCAATCAGTATCCCCCCCAAACTGCCACCCCAGGGGATCCACTATTCTGACTTCTACCACCAGAGGTTAGTTCTACCTGGTTTTGAACTTTCTGGTTTTTAATTTTTTTTTGAAGATTGGCCCTGAGCTAACGTCTGTTGCCAATCTTTTTTTTCTTTTTTTTTTTTATTCTTCTCCCCAAAGCCCCCCCGTACATAGTTGTATATTCTAGTTGTGAGTGCCTCTGGTTGTGCTATGTGGAATGCTGCCTCAGCGTGGCCTGATGAGCGGTGCCATGTCCATGCCCAGGATCTGAATCCGCGAAACCTTGGGCTACCAAAGCGGAGGGCACGAACGTAACCACTCGGCCACGGGGCCGGCCCCTGAACTTTCAATGAATGGAATCATACCATACATACTCTTTTCCTCAGCATTATGTTTGTATGCTCATATTTTAATGGTTGCACTGTAATGTGTATATATGCGGATCGGTTTATAGTATAATATTTCATGGGATAAGTGCGCCATACCTTATTGAACCATTCCCGTATTTAGAATATAAATAATGTTGTAAGAAACATCTTCATTCAAGCAGATTTTTCTGTATTTAGGATTATTCCCTAAGATAAACTGCCCAGAATCAAATAGATTGGTTTAAAGTAGGAACCTTTAATAGTTGTTGATATTTTCAAAATCAATTCTGACAAGGATGTTGATCTTGAACCTAAAATTAGAGTTAGACATTGGGACTGGGGGCTGATATAGAAATTAGAATCCAAGATACTAAGCTATAAAGACATTCATCATAGCCTTGTTTTAAATAGTGTAAAATTGAAAACAACATAAATATCCTCAATAGGGAATTGGTAAACAAATTATGGCCCATCCAAACAATGGAGTACTATATAGCCATCAAAAGTCACAAAGGAAAATGTGTAACTACATGGAGAGATGATTAGGATATTGTCATAAAATGGGATATGGAACATGGTTCCATTTTTATCAAGTGCATATTTTTCTGTGTTTATGAATATTTCCTTAAGATGGATTTTCAGACACAGGATTAATAAATTATTCAAAAAAGATCGATAGTTAATATGCATATATGCATATACATGGGTGATTGTATATATGTGTAGATGATCAGTGGTTCTTGGGGCAAGGTCTTTATCCTCCCCCTCCCTTTTTTTGCTTGTATTTATCTTTTCAAAATTAACTACAAAAGTCACATATTTCTTTCATATTATCATGAAGAGGGAAGGATGTTTTGCCTGCTTGTTTCCCAACACAAGTCTGAAGCTGTGTTGGGGCTGATGAGAACAGGACTTGGCCTAAGGCAGAACTGTGGCAGATGGTGTGCCGAGGACCTGGCCTCCAAGCCCTGTGCCCTCTAGATGGGACTCTGTCCTCAGATCAGCAGGGAGTGTCCCAGGACGTTGCATTGTCCCCTCCTGCCCTTGACCCAGTGGGGATATCAGGTACCACAGTAGGGGCCCCCTTCTTGGTCTCTGAGTGTGCATCTCACTCTGCACACCTGCCAACTCCACTCCTCTCCTGCTCGTAGGTTCCGGAGCCATCGTCGCTGCCATTGTGGTGGTTGTCATCATCATCTTCACCGTGGTTCTGATCCTGCTGAAGATGTACAACAGGTACGGGGTGCCCTGGGTTTTGGACAGTCTGGTCCCTTCGGTAATGTCAGCATGAAAGGGAACTAACGTGTGGGTGCCTGTCACGTGCCCAGCTGTATCCCTGAGTCCACCGTCAAATGCTCTAACCCTTTGTGGGTCCTTTCCTGACATCCGTTCTGCTGTAGGAACTTCACAGGGACCAAATGATTTTGTACTCAGAGAATTAGTTTTTAAATATAATAATGATAATGACCTTGAGCACTATGGTAAACAAGTATATGTGATTTACGGATAATAGAGGAATGTTTCAATCCTTTTCTCTTGGAGAGCCCTCTGCTAGTTGTATTGAGCGGACCACATGAATATTTGAGGTGACAAATACTGGAATGCACATACCTGGACTCCACTTTCTGGGACCAAATAAGAGGGAATAAAATAATAAAGTTTGATCGCATAAAGAATAAATGTGGTGTTATCACCTTCTGTGTCAGCATCGTTAGGTCACAACTTTGCTCGAAGGTTATTCTCTTCAGGCAAGAAATCAAAACAAGAAGACTATAAATACAACCATATTAGAGAAGACTTAGAAACCATTAAGAAAAAGATATCTTATAAGTGTGTTTATTGAAGAGGAAAGCTGTTTCCAATATATTGTCAAAGCTTACAAAATAACATGTACATTATGATCGTACACGTGGGTTACACACACACGTACCCAAGGAAGGTTCAAATGACACACAGCAAGGTAACAACCAGTGTGTCTGCACGATGGGATTACCAGTTGGTTAGCTGGTTGGTTAGTTTTTGCAGGGGTAGGGGATGTGCTTTTTTATTTTTTAGGAGAAGTAAACATGCATCGTGGTTTTTTGGGGGATTTTTTTGTTTTGTTTTTTTGTGTGTGTGTGAGGAAGATTGGCCCTGAGCTGACATCTGTTGCCAATCTTCCTCTTTTTGCTTGAGGAAGATTGTTGCTAACCTAACATCTGTGCCAATGTTCCTCTACTCTGTGCGGGATGCCGCCACAGCATGGCTTGACAAGCAGTGCTAGGTCCACACCCAGGATCTGAACCTGTGAACCCTGGACCACCAAAGTGGAATGTGTGAACTTAACCACTATGCCACAGGGCCAGCCCCCATGCCTTGTTTTTATAGTAATGTTAACATTATTCATAAAGGTAGCTAACTTATATTGGCCTCTTACTGTATGCCAGGCATGGTTCTAAGCCCCTTCCATGTGTTAACTCATTTAATCCTCCCAACAACCCCACAAGGTGGGGACTTCTATATCTGCAATCTTATAGGTGTGAAACGGCACAGAAAGGTTAAAGAACATGCCTCAGGTTACACAGCGCTCCTTGGCAGAGTTGAGAGTCAAACCCAGTCCCTCTGGTGTCAAAGAAAATAAATATTCCCATCACTACATGTGATAATAATAATAACATTTAATAAGTTATTCTTAAAAGTCTTTGGGGTATTACAATTTGGGTCTGTCCCAAACCAGGAAGTGGCATCAAACCCCAATGTCTACACTTCCTTCCTCTCCTTCGTTGCTGGAGCTCTGAGCCCCTTTTCCAGGCTGTAATTGAATGGAGACTCGCTCACCCCGCCCTGTTTACCACGATGGCTGGGCTGCAAATTGAGAGACCTGGCTTCAGTCTCCGGTCTGTCAAAAGCAGGCGAGTCATTTAACCTCTTGTGCCTCAATTTTGTCACCTTTAAAATGGAGGAGACTCCAAGTGTGATCATTGTCTTACGGTGACACGGAGAATGCTCTTGTTTTTAGGGGTATTTAGGAGTGAAGTAGCATGATGTCTGCGACTAACTCACAGATGGTGCATGATTTTAAAAAAACTGTGTGTGTGTGTAAATGGGGAAAGAGAGAGGAAAAAAGCCAATGTGGCAAATTGTTAACAATCGGTAAATTGTTCCATGAAGGGTATTCGGGTATTAATTATACTAGTCATGCAACTTTTCTGAGGATTTGACATTTTAAAAAAAGTATTATGATAGGTTAACGAGATGAAGTCTCATGTAGACATTAGCGTTAATGGTTGTTGTTAGTTATTGAATTTTATGGCACATGAAATGAAAGATAGGATTTTAGTTTTAAGTACATTCTCTTCTCAACTGTGTAAAAAGTTCCTAATTATTTCTAGCAATAAACTTAGCAAGGGTAATGAAGCGGCACATAACTCCCACTACAACTTTGAACAGGAAAAATGTAATATCTTCGTTTCATCTTTAATATGGCCACCTGACACTTCACTCTTTCATTAATAGGAAAAAAATAAAATCAAATATCTACTCTAGGTCAAACAAAAAATGAAAGGGTCAGACTAGCTGATGTCTAAGCTCCCCTCCAGTTGTAAAGTTCTGTGGCTGGCAATTAAGCAACGTGATTTGCTGAGGATCTACATCAGTCTCCTCGCCAGAGCCTTAACCACAGAGCCTGCTCCCCAGGACATGAAGGGGGAAGACTCAGCCATGTGTGCGTATCTCATTACAGGAAAATGAGGACCAGGCGGGAGCTGGAGCCCAAGGGCCCCAAGCCAGCCTCCCCTTCTGCCCTGGACCCAAACAGCAACAGCAGCCAGCACCCTGCAACTGTGACCTTCAGTCCCGTTGACGTCCACGTGGAGACTCGGTGACCCCACCCTGGTGCTATCTCAGCCACTGTCCAAGGAGCCTTCTGCAGTCAAGACCAAGAAGCACATTTCTCCTCTGGCAGCTTCACCATGAGTTCCTTCCGGTCAGGTCGACAGGGGCATCTCTTATGCAATCCCTGACGCTTCAGGCAACCCCCAACCCCATCCTGGCCTGCCGCTCCCCAGCTACGTCCACCTGCCTGCTGCCACCCTTCCAAAAAGCTGTGGAACTGTCTTTTGTCATCTGATGCAGTAGAGCTATGTTGGGAATCCACTAATGTGGGTTTGGCTGTCTCCTCCCAAACACGATAGCTAGACAGACAGAGAGATAGCCCTGGAGTCAGGGGTCACAACAGGGTGTGCCAGTGGGGTCATATCAGAGTAAGGGCCATATGCACAGCTTTGCAGAGCAAAATATTCAATCCTATAATCAGGCACAGGGCAACTAACTTGGCCTAACTAGCCAGAAAACCAACTGGATAATTTATAATGTGTTCCAGGACCAGATGACTGCCAGCTGGCTCATGACAATGGGCAGCACATTTTTCCCTCTTTAAGAAAGGTTATGGGAAAGACTGAGTTCTTCTCAAAGGTTTCTACTTCATTAGTAAAGCATCAGAGTAGAAAGAATAGAGTGACTTTGAGGAATAATGGCCTCCAGCACAAAAGCTTATTGCAGTGTCCAGAGGCCCGGGGCCAGCCTGGTGGCTGGTTAGGACCCCTCCTCTCCCTCTGGGGCTGGACTAACCCTGACTCATTCTCATTTCTTGGCTCCCTTCTATCTGGATTCTGGGCAATCCTTATTCTCTGGTTAACACCTTATCTGCGAGGACCCGTGTTTGGTGACTGATTAGATTACAACTGTGTTTATGTTACCCATGCCCTTCCTGGTCACCTTGGAGAGATTCAGGACATATTCAGAGAACCACACTCACAAACCATCTCTCTGCACAGAGCTGATCTCTTTGACTCCTTAGCCTGGAGAACCGTTCATTGAGAGGGAAAAGCATTTTGGAATTAAGAAGACCTGCTTTCTAGGCTCTACCTCCTGGTTTCGTGGCCTTGGAAAAGGGACTTGACCTCTGCACATTCGGCTCCCTAACCAGGAAGTGAGAATGGTAACACCTGCCTCATGGCAGATCTGTTATTATTATAACAAGTCGAGGACTTAGGAAAGCGGCTCCGATAGTGTCTGGCCCAGCAGATGCTTAGTACATGGGAGCCAGCATTATTTTTACAATATTTCTTCAGTTGCAAGACACACATTTGTTCACATTTTAATGATTCTGAAATCAGAATATGTCTGCAAATTGATGAGTCCATTAATGTAGTTGCATTTTTTTTCCCCTCCATCTCAAAAAGCTATTTTTTAATCAATTGTGCATCTTACAATTGGAGGCATCTTGGAAACAGGGTAATAAATCTTTAGTCTGCTACAGACAGTGACACATTCTGACATTTCACCTCAAATTCTAGGAGCTTCTCCCTTTGGGGATCAGAAATCCCCATGTGAGGGGAAAGTGAGAGTCAGGGAGGTCAGAAGACTGACCCAGGATCACACAGCTCATGTCATCTCACCATGAATATGCTCACTTGAATATGTCTGGAGAAGTACTGGCAATTCTTCCTACCTGGACATCTTTCTCCCGCTGTGTTTAAATATCCACCAAATACCAGGCACTTTGCAAGATGCTTCTAAGTTATCTCATAGGATTTATTTTTCCCAGTAACCCTGGGAGGTATTATGTTTTCCATTTGCAGATGAGAATTTCAGACTCAAAGAGGAAAAGTACTTGCCCAAAGTCACACAGCTAGTAAGTTGCAAAGGCAAGACTCAAAGCCAGGTATCTGTGACTCCAGAGTCCATCATTTTGTTGTATCGAACTCTTCTCTACTATCCTGGCTCAAAGAACTGGGATCATGGGCTGACCAAAAGGAGGGCCGGTTTGTCCGTATGTCTGAGTAGGGGTCAGAGGTCTGGTTTCCAAACCAAAAGTGGAGGTAAAGCCACTTCGGTAGCCTCCTTTGGGCTTCCACAACTGTAGCCAAATGAACCCTCTCTAAACCCATCCAAGCTCTGAGGACTCCTGCTGTGTTCCCCTGCCATGTAGGGCCAAGGAGCAAAGGGTGGGACAGAGCAAAGCCATTTCTTTAAGGCCTCAAGCCCCAAAGAAATATGTTTCCCAAACATAATCTGCTTTAAAAACAAAATTGTTTGGAATGGTTCAGCCCTAAAACCAGACTCTTCTGCCCACGCTGGAATCTTCCTGGAATTATTAGAGGAATTTTCCTCTAGTGTATGTTCTTTTGCTGAATGAAAGCTTGTAAATGGAGGAAAGAGGGGGATGTGGAGAGATGAGGGGGAGGCGAATCGAAGGGTTTTGGTGTTTTGTTTTTAACTAATGACGCTAACTCAGTAAACACCCTTTCAGGCTCCTATGTGCAGGTTGAGGTGCTACTAAGCACAGTCGGTGGCGGTCCCTGCTCCCGGGGACGCTCAGCTGCTCTCCGGCGACAGGGATCTTGCAACACAGTGCCTTCCCTAACTGAGCAGATGCTGCCTCACTCGGCCAGTGAATCAATAAAAGATGTTAAACGCTTAAAGGAAAATGTCTAAAAATAAAAAGGTTTAAAGCAAACATTTGTTGAGTTGATTTCAGTCGAGTTTAGGGCTCACAAATACCTTTTTGAAGACGTCCTTTCCCTGACAATGGGAAGAGGGTCCCGAGGGGAAGCCGCAGCCTTTTCAGAGGTGGCGTTCTCACTTCTAAAGGATGGTGGGAAGGGTGGGCGGCTATCAAAGACCTCTCTGTGAGTTAGGAAACTTGTTAACTTGATAAAATATGACAAAAGGAATCCCATTTCACGGCCTACAGTTAACACGAGTCACTGAGATGCCAAGGTTTGGGGACCCCTGGGATTGTAGGAGACATTAAACTGGAACCCAAATCAACAATAATGATGTTTACTCTTAACTAAGCTCCTGCTGTGTGCTGGGCATCTGATGGGCCCTTTCTCCCCCCAGCTCCTTTAACCATTACAACTCCCATGCATGGGAGCCATCATTATTCCTATTTTTTGGATGAGGAAACAGGTGCAGGGAGATAACTTGTCCTTAGGTGACAGCATGGACATTTGTCATTCTTTTGGTGACCATTCTCCTGTTTGAGTCCTCTACTTGAAGAGACAGAACTATCTCCTGCTATAAAAGCAAGAAAGGCCAGACACTCATGTTCCCAGAGTCTCTTGCAGCTAGGGAGAGGGTGCCTGACGTGGGCTCTGCCAATCAGATACTCCTGCCACGGACTTTGAATCCAGAAGCTGATGACATCATGGGATGGGAACTGTACAGAATCTGCTCTGGTGGCAGGTGTGTTGGCATCCTCCATTTCCAGAGGCAGTGACATCAGGGGTTCTAACAGTAGTTTTGGGGTCATTCTTGAGTCCAGACCCAGTGGCTATGGAGTTGGCCATGTGACCTATGCCTGACAAAGCAGCCATGGTGTCTGGACCCAACCAGTTCTTCAGTATGATTTTCTGCATCATACCTGGCAGCAGACCTCTGAGCCTGGTTCTGGCCTTCTGGAGCTTCCAGCAACTACCTGGTTCCCTTTTCTGCTTAAATCAGCAGTCACTTCCTGCTGCTTGTCGCTAAGAACCATACAGCTGTGGGGGACTTGCTCATGGCCACCCATCTGAGAAGTGGCTGGCTCTGGTACCCAGGTCTCCAAAGCTCTCGTTCTTTCCATACAGATGCTTCCAGGTGAGGCTAAGTGATAAGAGGACCCACAAAGTGCTGTGGGGTCGTAGAGACGGTAGATTGCCTTCAGTTACACATATCCCAGGGACTTTGTGGATGTTAATGAGGGAATATTTTGTAAGAACCTGGAAGAATGGGTAGGATTTTTTTAAGTAAAGCTTTTTTCATTGAAGTACAATGTGTGTTGCAGCTTGAAAAATGTTCACAGACTGAACACACTTGTGTAACCAGTCTGAAAATGAAGAAATAAAGCATTACGAGCATCCCGGAAGCCTCCCATTTCCTCTTCCTCCGCTCCTCCCCTCCCACAAAGCATAGCCACCATCCTTACTTTTACCACCACAGAAGAATCTCGTCTGTAAGTAGAATTAGAGTGTAAACTCTTGCTTCTGGCTTCTTTTGCACAAATGGCGTTTGTCATCTTTGCTCGTGTTGTCACCGGTAGTTCAAGATCTTTTCATTCTCACTGTGGTAGTGTTTCATATGTGAATAGAACTACATTTTTATCCATTCTACTGTTTGGTGTACATAAAAGTTGTTTCCAGTTTGGGTCTGTAACAAGTAATACTGCTATGAACAGTTTGGTGATCATATGTATATTTCTGTTGGGAATGTTTCCAGTAGGATCATTGCTAAGTCACAGGGTATGTGTGTATTCAGCCTTAGTCAATAGTGCCAAACAGTTTTCCAACGGGTTGTCCCAATTTACTTTCCCACCAGCAGGATACGAGAGTTCCAGTTATTCCAGTGGAATCAAATACTAGGACATTTTCAGAATCTTGAATTTCAGTCATTCTGACGTGTGTGCCGTGGTCTCTCATTGTGGTTCTAACCTGTGTTCCCTGATGGTTGATGGAACCGATCACTTTTTCATGTTTATTGGCCATTTAGATGTCATCCTTTATGAAGTCACTCTTCTATTTCTGTCCATTCGTTTATTTGGTTGTCTTCTTTTTTCCTTATTGATTTGTAGGAGTTTTGCATACATTTTGGATGTAAGTCCTTTGTCGTCCTGTGGCTCGCCTTTATTTAAATCAACGCTTTTTTGAGATATAATTCACACACCATCAAGTTCACCATTTTAAAGTATACAATGCAGTGATTTTTGGTATATTCATGGATTTGTGCAGCCATCACCGCTAGCAAATTCCAGAAAATTTTCATCACCCCAAAAAGAAACTCTATGTCCATTAGCAGACACTTCCCATTGCCCCCCTCGCCAGCCCCTGGCAACCACTAATCTGCTTTTTGTCCCTATGGATTTGCCTATTCGGGACATGTCATACAAATGGAGCGAGGCAATATGTAGCCTTTTTAGACTGTTTCTTTCCCTTAGCTTAATGTTTTCAAGGTTCATCAATGTCATAGTATGAGCAGTACTCCATTCCTTTTTATGGCTGAACAATACTCCATGGTATGGGCATACAACATTTTGTTTATCCATTCACCTGTTGAAGGACATTTGGGTTGTTTCTACTTTTTGCTATTATGAATAATGCTTCTGTGAACATTCACATACAAATTTGGTGCAGACATAAGTTTTCAATTCTCTTGGGCATGTATCTTAGAAATAGAATTGCTGCGTAACGTGATAGCTCTGTTTAATCGTTTGAGGAAATGCCAAACTGTTTTCTGAAGTGGCTGCACCATTTTATATTTCCACACACAGTGTATGAGGGTTCCAGTTGCTCCACATACTTGCTAACATTTTATTGTCCCCCTGTGTGATTATAGCCATCCTACACCTATGGTTATGAAGTGGTATTTCATTGTGGTTTCAATTTGAATTTCCCTAACGACTAATGATGTTGAGTATTGTCTTATGTGCATATTGGCCATTTTTGTATTATTTTTTAAGAAATGCCAATTAAAATCCTTTGCCCATTTTTAACTTGGGTTATTTGGGGGTTTTTTATTGTTGAGTTATAAGAGTTCTTTGTATAGTCTGGTTACAAGTCCCTTATCAGGTATGATTTGCAAACATTTTCTCCCACCCTGTGGGCTCTCTTTTCACTTTCTTGATGGTGTCCTTTGAAACACAAAAGTTTTAATTTTGATGAAGCCCAATTTACCTATATTTTTCTTTTGTCACTTGCACTTTTGGTGTCATATCTAAAAAATCACTGCTTAATCCAAGAACATGAAGATTTACTCTTTTATTTTCTTGCAAGAGTTTTATAGTTTTAGCTCTTAAATTCAGGTATATGACCCATTTTGAATTAATTTTTGTATATGGTGTGAGATAGGGGTCCAACTTCATTCTTTTGCATGTGGATATCCAATTGTCCCAGCACTACTTGTTGAAAAGACTATTTTTCCCCATTGAATTGTCTTAGTACTCTTATCAAAAATTAATTGACCAGGGGCTGGCCCAGTGGCTCAGCAGTTAAGTGCGCACGTTCCGCTTCAGTAGCCCAGGGTTCACGGGTTCAGATCCCGAGTGCAGACATGGTACCGCTTGTCAAACCATGCTGTGGCAGACATCTCACGCATAAAGTAGAGGAAGATGGTCACCTATGTTAGCTCAGGGCCAGTCTTCCTCAGCAAAAAGGGGAGGATTGGCAGCAGATGTTAGCTCAGGGCTAATCTTCCTCAAAAAAAAAATTAATTGACCATAAATATAAGAGTTTATTTCTGGATGCTGAATTCTATTCCATTGGTCAATATTTCTAGTCTTATGCCAGTGCCCCAGTGTCTTGTTATGTAGTTAAGTTTTGAAATCTGGAAGTATGAGTCCTCCCACTTTGTCCAGTCCTCCATCTTTTTTTTTCTTTTTCAAGATATTTTCGCTATTCCGGGTTCCTTATATCTCCATATTAATTTTAAGATTAACTTGCTGATTTTGCAAAAAAAGGCAGCTGATATCTTGATAGGGATTGCATTGAACCTGTAGATCATTTTAGGGAATATTGCCATCTTAATAATATTAAGTCTTCTGATCCATGAACATGGAATGTCTTTCCGTTTATTTTGGTTGTCTTTAATTTTTTTCAATGGAATTTTTTAGTTTTCATTGTGCAAGTGTTTCACTTTTTTTGTTAGATTTATTCCTAAGTATTTTACTTTTTTCAATGCTGTTATAAATTGAATTGTTTTCTTTCTTTCTTTCTTTCTTTTTGTTGAGGAAGATTAGCCCTGAGCTAACATCTGGCGCCAATCCTCCTCTTTTTGCTGAGGAAGACTGGCCCTGAGCTAACATCTGTGCCCATCTTCCTTCACTTTATATGTGGAATGCCTGCTTCAGCATGGCCTGATAAGTGGTGCCATGTCCACACCCGGGATCTGAACCAGTGAACCCTGGGCCGCTGAAGTAGAACATGTGATCCTAACCACTGCGCCACCGGACTGGCCCCCTGGAATTGTTTTCTTAGTTTCCTTTTCAGGTTGTTCATCATTAGTATATAGAAATGCAACTGATTTTTGTGTGTTGATTTTGTATCCTGCAACTTTGCTGAATTTGTTTATTAGCTCTAACGGTGTTTTTGTGTAAGATCGTTAGAGTTTCTACATATAAGATCATGTCATCTGTGAATAGAGATAATTTTACCTCTTCCTTTACAATTTGGATGCTTTTTATTTCTTTTTCTTGCCTAATTGCTCAGGCTGGAATTTCCAGTGCTATTTTGAATAGGAGTGGTAGGAGCAGACCCTTGTCGTCGTCTTCATCTTAGGGGGAAGCAACAAGTCTTTCACCATTAAGTATGATGTTCTCTGTGGGTTTTTCCTAGATGGCCTTTGTTAGGTTGAGGAAATTCACTTCTATTCCCAGCAGAAGTGTCTTTATCAGAAGGAGGAGTTGGATTTTGTCAAATGATTTTTCTGCACCTATAAGATGATCATACTGCTTTTGTCCTTTATTCTATTAATATGGTATATTAC